TTAATATATTTTAATAATATTTTTAAATAAAATCACAATATGACGCACCTACAATATCTTAAAATTACCACTTCGAAGACCTAGTAGAAGATGGTCTGATATTAAAATTGCTCTTATTCTCGTAGGGCTTGATGTCATGAATTGAATTGTAGTGTCTCAATTTCGATCTTATGTCTTAGCTATGTTGACACTCCGGTTTCTTTTATAAAGAGAAGAATTTAGTTACGGCCTGTTATTAATATAAATTTTATTCGGATGATAATCAGAGTGGTGATAAACAATGACCGAACCAGTGATTGTAATGCCAGTAAGTTCAAGAACGGAGTGCGTACATCCATGAAGTTGCATCTCCCTGTTACCGAGGCATTGTATGGAATACAGAATTGAATGTAACCGCACCTAAGTGGCCTTGGATTCACATGAGACGTCAATGCGCGAATGTATGATGCCTTTTTTTTTGCGAATTTTTCATTAGAAATTCTGTTGCTTGCCGATAACAGAACTGGCCGATATTTAATCGCTCGAAGTCTTATCGCGGCTTCGATAGTCGCTTATGGCATGGGCGTGTATATGCTATCGATGGACCCTTGTGCATAGAATCTTGGCAAATGTTCAGAAAGATGAAATTAAAAATATAAATCTGAATGGACAACTATGGGTTCAACAATGGAATATCTAGTTCCATTTTTGCAGAAAATCGACAGGAAGACAGACTTGGATGCACCCAGAAGATGTTGCTCGTTCTTTTTTGCAGAAAATCGACAGGAAGACAGGCTTGGATGCGCCCAGAAGATATTGCTCGTTCAGGCAATTAGCGTGAAGAACACGTAATAAACATTTAAAGGAGTAAATAAATAAATCGATGTTGAATGAATAAACAGTAATTTGCATAGCCTCAGTATCGCGTTCTGTTTCGTGAACTCTGGATTACAAATAACTCCTGTATCTTCGTCCAAAATCCTCAACTTCTTTTAATCTAGTAACAGCTGGAGATATTACAGCAAGATAACTTCATCTCCCTCTTGGCTGTTGCCAGCGCAGTCTCTGGCTGCTGGAATGGAGGCCATAACTTCAACATCGACTTGACAGCAGCAACGGGGCTGATCGTACGCCGTGAAACAGCTGGCTTGGGCGTCGGAAGTCAAGTTGAGAGGTTCATTTTCTGTAACTCATATCTGAAGCAAAGGAATCACGACAAGCCTGTAATAATGGCGGGTTCGTGATTATGGTTATTTGAGTTGATTTACTAGAAGGTGGAGGGAGTTGGGAGAACTGATTAATGGTCTAATGAGGCGACTGCACTACCCACACTTTTCTGTCCTCCTCGTTCGCTGAATTAAGAAGCCACTTGTTTCATGATGAGACTAATTTTAAACCTCTAGCTGAAGTTCGGAGGAAAGTGGGTGGAAGGAGAAACACCGCCATAGACGATGCAAAAAGAAGAAGAAGAAGAAGAGACGTCACCTGTTTTATTTTTAACGGTGGACTCTGTTATCGGGATTTAGGTTATGTAACTGCTCTTGGAAATTGGTCAGGTCGCAGAGTGTTTTATAACGGCTTTATCAGTTCAAAATCGCTAGACGTCATCGTAATTTTGTCCCGGTATTGATGGAGCACAAAACTGATTCGATTTACGAATTTTTACTACAACGAAAAATATTGGGTGATTTTTCCTGGGAGTCCTGAATCAGTCAGAATTTTATACATTGAAATTAACGAGAATTAAATTTTCGATTTACGCGTTTTTTACCTTATGAACAGTTTTTATCGAACGAATTACGTTCGTAATACGAAGGATGGGCATATGAAATTATCAACTGTACCTTCACTGAATTGGTAAAACATCTGGTTGAATGAATGTTTGATTTGTTGAAATTTAATATAATCAAGAATCATCGTTTTGTGGTTAGCATTTTTGATGCTTCTCTTATGATGTCATATACGAACATTTGCTGTGATTTATTCCGTGTTTTGTTTATATTTAAGGATTCAACTACACAATAGTTGAAGTGAATCAGTTTTGCTTCTTAGGAATAAGTTATCTATTTAAAAAAAAACGACTTATTCGTTGCTAGTGCCAGGATAAGGAGTGTATAAGTCTCAAATTTCGAGAAATAATATTTAGAAGAGTCTTCAGAAATTTTTATTGATTTGGTCAAAGATTTATGGAAACATGGTAATACAGTGTCGATATTAAATTAAGACTGAACCTTAAGATGGCTTTCGTTCACCGAAGCTCGAACTCAGGGCCTCTTTTACGGAGTTTTGATCCCCTGGTCCCAGCGAACAAGAATGACACGTTTGGTACAAATTGGTTTATGCTTCAATTTTATATACAAGCCTTAGCGTATTTCTTGCTGGTTGTTAAGCGATGCCTTAGCGTATTTCTTGCTGGTTGTTATACGATGTGCTACCGAAAAGTTCGGGGAATTTGCCCATAAAAAAATTGCTTATCATAACTCGAAGTAGTCACCTTGGGCATGGATACAGCGATCCCAGATTTTTTCCATGATTCCATGCATCCCTGGAAGTCTTCAAGTGTGAGTGTTTTAAGCACCTCCTGCGATTCTGACTAGATCTCCTCAATTGTGTCAAAACGACGGCCTTTCAATCGAAATTTCATTTTGGGGATCAGGAAAACGTCGCAGGCGGCGAGGTCAGGCGAATAGGGTGGGTGGGGAATCACTGTCGTGTTTTCGGAAGCCAAAAACTGCCGAACAACGAGCGATGTGTGGACGGGCGCGTTGTCGTGGTGGAGAACCCAGCATGCTGTGGGTTTGTACAGCAGTTCGATTGTTCCAAGACCTTATACACCTCAGGGTTATACACTCATCTTGATTTATTCACCCAAATAACAGGTGAAGAATAAAATACTGTATAACGAATAGCCATGTTTATGTCATATAATTACTTAGGTCTCCTTGGAATTGATATTTTATAAGCCCACAAATAGAATAATTCGACCTAAATTTTAAAATAGAAATATTGGCGCAACACACCATCTAAAATTGGCCCGATTAATACTTTGAATCGAAACGTGTAGCCGGCAATGAGATAGAAGTTTTATAGTTGTGTTGAGAATAATAAAAAAAGTACATCGATAAAATTCATGAAGCTCATCATTGTGCAATGTTATTTATTCTTTCTCAGGACCACACATTGTAGTCAGCACTTCAGTTTTAAACACACTCACTGAACAGAAAATGTGTGCGTCGAATTTATAAAGTGGGATGTCGTAATAATGTATACCACGTATATGCGTATTCTACGTTCCCTATACACGATGAGAAATTAGGCAATACGTGTTACTAGCATTCTATAAGCTAACACCTTTTGCTCGATTCGAAGGAACGGTAACTCCGTCCCTCTGATTTATTTTATTATTTATTATTTATTTAGTGTTCTGTCTGACGACAGGTCCATATGAACAGGATCCTTCCATCCTTTTCTCGGACTGGGACCTGTTCATATACGTTCTTGGCAGATGATCCAGAAGGGGTTTGCCATTGCCTTCTTCTGTGTGAGTGTGAATGGAGTAATTGTTGGGATGCCACAGAGAAACCGGGGAA